AACCGTCAATTTATAATATTTATCTCATACTAAAATTGTCTCATACAAGTTAATATATTAGTAAAATAACACTTATAATATGATATATCCTTTTGTCTTTAACTATTTAAATAATTTGAAATGGAAAAGATGTATTTTGTAATATAATAATTTAGAAATATTACCTATTTTAGTATGATAGTTTTTTCCTTTTTGTTAATTAGTCTATAATCCGTGTTTAGAATATATTCCTTATTTTTATTTTTAAACTTTTGTTAATACTGACACATGTCACAATCTAAATTAACAATTACATGTGTCGTAATCTGGTGAGTTACAATTTTGCTTATGTGTCGCGTTCTCATCGTGCGCATTCTCCTTCATATAATAAGATACGTTAAACGTCTTGTTCCCCAAGTTATCTCCAATAGATCTGACCAAAACGAAAATGGGAAAAAATAAAATTAGGATTCTTAGAATATTATAATAAAATTAGGCTTTATCTGAGTTTTCAGTTGCTTGGTTCCATTGCTGCCAAAATCCGATTTAAAAGAAAGGATTTTTTTTGTCACATGATTAAAATATGATGATGATAAAATCATGATTCATGACCTGAGTTATCTTTTCACAAAATATCATTTCTATCTTACTGGCATAGAATCGCTATGCACAACGAAGGAGACAAAGAACTAAGATCCCTATTTTTTTTTCCAATTCAAAATAAAACCATAACGACGTTAGGTCAATTATTTTTTACACGTGCTTTAACGAAAATTTTATCCCGTTTATGGTTTTGATGGAATTGACCATTTGTTAAAAAAAAATTATGTAGTAAATTCAAATACATAAGAAGTTCATATATTTTATGGCATTGGTCAATATATCTGTATGAATAATCAAATACTCCTTAGTTCATAAGAAAAAAATATGTCATTTTCCTTGCTCAACGTGCACTAAAGTTTAACAAAAATGGTAAAACTTGTGTTCAAGAACCGCTAGGCGTTCAATCTTCAGCTTCGAGCAAGCTTGAGAAGCTCCCATTAATGGGCTATTTGAAATATTATGTTTGGACCAACTCACGAATGAAAATAAAATAAGTAGATTTATATTCAAAGCCCCCATATCATAAGAAAAACAAGTTACGAGACCCATGTCATACAAAATCAAAAAGTTACTTGGAAACCAGATCTTGTTTAAAATGAAACCCCTAAATTAATTTTTAGATCACCTAGCTAATATAGCATCTTATGTTTTAACTTTCAAACAAAAATAATTATTGCCAAACCCCCTGGAGAAATCCCCTATATAATAGTTGATGTTACATAAGAAATTTTGTTTATTCAACAATCGAAAGTCATATATTAGATAAAATTACTGAATTACAACACAGTTACCAAATGATTTGTGTCAAGCACGTGAAGCGTATTGGACTGGCTTCCTATTTATTTAAAAGTCTACATTCAATACCCTTGAGGTTTTATTTCAATTTG